ACAAAATAAATGTCTATAAAATAATCTTTTCAGCAAAAAAATTGTCGGCAAATTAAGGTGTCAAAAAAATGATTGTCAGTAAAATGACCCAGACTCCTATAATATTCTATACTAGGAAAATGAGATCTGTTGGGGTCCAGAGCACCACTGCATAAATACATGATTGAGTTACAAAAAAAATGGCTATATTTTTTTGTTATAAAAAATTCTTAATTACAATATTAATACTTATCTGTTAGCTCAATTTTGCTGTAAAAATTAGCTTATTGGTGTTGAATATTATGTAGTTATGATAGCATGATTTAGTTAAATGATGCCTAAAAAAATAGAATTATGATATCATGATTTAATTAACAAAAAATAGAAAATATTTTTCATTGTTATATGAAATTAATTAATTTATTCTTATAATGCTTTAGTTTTATAAAGTAAATTTCATTTCAATTTTTTGGTATAATATAAAATTAAGATATGCCAGAAAGTTTGAATTATTCATTTTTTTAAAAAATTGAATGGATTAATTATGAGAAAAATTAATTAGATTTATATAGCTGTGTTACTTTTTGCATAGGTCTTTTTTCTTATAATAAGTTAGTATTTATATTCATAAGTTGTTTTTCTTCAAGTATTTGCTCTTGTATTCTCATGCATTTTTTAATACGTTGAAGTCTCTCAAAAGTAAAATGCTCAAAGATCAGATCATTAATAGATCATACTCGTGATATTGCCACAAATGAGAGACCTGCTGCAAATTCTCTCTCATTAATATTTACTATGACTTTGAAAAGTATTAAGCATTGAGATTTATATACTGTAATTGCCCATGCAAGTATCAGAGGAACTTGTAAGTGTGAGCATATATCATGTTTTTCTTTCTATGTTCTTCTAATAGGGGCTATTGGTACAACTTGAATATTTTCAGGTAAAGAAATTGTTGGTCCGTGATAGTCATCAAACACAACAAGAACAGAGTTAGGAAGTAAAGGATGGTTGTGGGCTTCATCATATAAAATATCTATAATTTTTCCTATTGCGCCATTTACAAGCCCAACAGATGTTCAGAGATTTGCAGTAAGCATTATCCTTGCTCCTTTAGTGAGTAATAGTTCAGCTTTTAGGCCCCTTGCAATATCAGAATCAGTCTTTGGAGCCTTATGATTATCACTATGAACAGCATATATTTTGGCAATAGGATGATATAATGATTCTAGTTTTTCAATATTGACTTTGTTGACTTCGGTAGAATGTAATTGGCACTAGAAAAAGCTACTCATTTCTCTAAAGTCAATTTTTCTGGCAATCTTTTCATCATTATTTCTTAGTCTAAAACTGTAGAATCACCATCACGAAGGCATAGTAAAAGGAATCTAAATTGGTATTGTTCCTCTAAGTTGCCTGCTTGGCATTGTATATTATTAAGTTTGTAGAGATCATGAAATTGAAAATAAATCATACGACCATCTTTAGATAAAGCATTAGAATAATGAAAATTTTGCGCATACATAGGTAGATCACAAACTGATAGAAGTTGTTCAAAATCTCCAACAAAGATAATAGTTCAACTACCAAATGGAATGTTTTGACAATTAGGAAACGCTTGACGCATTCTTAGATCAATTAAGGCAAGAGTACATCGTCCTACCATACTCATCTCATCAATGATAAAGTAACTTACATATTGTAGTTTTTGTTGCAATTATTTTAAATGGTTTCCTGTTAGGTCAAAAGTTTTTGCATTAACTGAGATTGATAATGCAGAATGAATAGTGCAACCATGGATATTAAAAGCGGCAACTCCAGTAGAAGCAAGTATAAAATAGGTTGAAGAAGATTGTATTTTTTACTAATTTTATTAAGTCTATACTGGGCTGCTTTAATAAGATAAGACTTTCCAGTTGCAGCTATATCTATAATAATAATTCGCAATGGTTCTACTCATTTTTCTGAGATTTTAGCAATGTAATTACATTCTATCCTTTCTAGAATTATTTGTTGTTTCTCATTTAGGGTTTTGTAGTCAATTATACGATCGATAGAATTGTCAGTTTCATCACTAATAATACTTTCATTATATGCTCTCTGAATAAAGGTACTTGTGTCAAAAAGCTTAGAATACCATTCTTTGCTTTCTTTGGCCCAGTTATAGTTTAAGTTATTGTTGTGTAAGCCAAGGTCTGAATCGCATATTTGAGTATCAAGAAATGGTTCTGCTTGAATCATTCAGTCAAGTTGAGTTTCTTGTCTTTCTTTATTGAGTTGAAATTTATTATTATTGTTATTTTCTTCTTTGAAAGAGTCTTTAGCTGATTCAAGTGTATCAACAGGTCCAGCTTCAATTTTTTGCAAATGACAATCATAGAGTTTAGGCCAGGATAGTGTTTTATTTTCTGTAAGTTGCAGGATGTCTTTGTAACTAACATGTAAAAGAACTTTTATTCTGCAGAATTCTTTCTAGCAAGATCATTTTTTAACGAAAAAAGACATGGTCAGATATGTATTATATTTTCTTTTATGCAACATATCCAATTTCCTTTTATATATTTGTATTTTAGATATAACTGAAAGAGTGAGATGCCTTAAAGCTTAGTAGGTCGAGACCAGTACAATTGCAAGGGTGATAATCTTGTTTTAATATTATTCTAACCTTCATTATTATAGATTCATCGTAAAGCTTTCTTATTAAGATTCAAGATCACAAACTGATGACTACAATGATATAGAGAAATGCTAAGTAAAAGATGACAGGTTTCTTGAACTGAAAAGTCACATTCAGCTACTGAATGAAGAAACAATTTTTGAAAGGATTTTATAGAAAGGTCATTGGGTTTACTATGATGAATTATTTGATTCAATACATCAAAGAAAGACACTAATCGGTGTTCAGCCTTATTTGCATACTTGGACACATAATGTATAGCTGCATAAATAGTAAGTACAGGTTTTAAATCCATATTCACTCTCTACTTTTGAAGTTGAAGGTGATCATATGAATTTATATAAGAGTCATTTCTGGCAGTCAATAATTCTGGTTGTTCATAATTATTATACTGTATAATAGTTTGTTCTCTCAATTTTTTGGGAAATCCAAATCTACAAATTTGTTGTCTGGTTTGTATATTAGTCTTTAAACAATATGAAGTACTGCATCGCGTATGTCTTTGAAGTTTGTTAACTAATTCTACATAGTCTTGTAAATCATCTTTACAGAATTCCATACATTTTTGATATGGATAATGACTTGGTACAGGTGCATCTGTATCTGGATTAATAGTAGTAATTAAGGAATCCATATAGTACAAAATATTTTGTATTAGTTGTTCATTGTCTTTAATTTTATTCAATTCAACTTTTGAAGCATCACCCCTAATTCCAATTCAGTGAATATGTGTACTACCACAGTGCTATCACTCAAAGTGAAATCACCAATCTATTAAATTCCATTTTGGAACTAATAATTTTTCAAAAAAACATCAAACCTTTTATTAAAAAACCATGCAACTATATGTAGATTGTCGATTAGATCTTGATATTGACATTTAGCAGCCTCTTTGTTAGTTTCACCCTCTATTAGATTCTCATCATGTGGCATAAGATCATGTAATTCGGGCCAGTGTAGATCAGCAGAGCTAAAAGTAAAAAATACCATCCCTTGAGATCCTAACTGATTTATCATGTCTGATAATTCACAACTATGTTGTGCCCAATATTGGCAGGTACTGTGTAATACTTTACCATATTGTATTACACGATTAGCTAAATTAGTATTAGATTGTAATAACTCTTGAATTTCAATAGCTGTAAGTTGACCTTCCTCTAAGTTCTGCTTAACATACACCCGACTACATTGTAATGCCTGCCATCGCATTAATGAATTTAAAGCAAAATAACGACAATGTGAATGATGAGCAAAACAACCATCTTTATATTTCAAGAGATGTTGGAAGTACTCAGATGGCTGGACTTTTTTTATTCTAGGAGTGTGTAAATCAACAATACCATAAGGATAAAGTGTAGGAAAGGCACATACTATATATCCTGAGATATTAAATTCATTGATCAGGGTATGTTCAATATTGGGTCATTCAATTATTGAAGGTTGGATATTTTGTAAGTTATTCAAAACCTTATCGATTGCATTATCTTCATGGCATGTAGGTGATTGAATAGGAACAAAGATATACAAAATAACATTATTTTCAGGGTCCTTATTATTTTCATGTAATTCCTCTGTATTGCTTGAATCATTGTCATTTGAAACCTGTGGAAGTTGTTCAATTATTGAACCATTTTCAGGTAATGATTGAAATATTTTTGTCAATGTCAATATTGTGATAAAAGATATTATTGAGTTTTAGCCAACAAAGAGCATGATATATTTTATCTCGTTGAACTTGAAAATCTTGAAATTTTAATCCATTAAAAGAAGACCATCGTATAATAAGAGTATTTAATGATAAGGGTTAACATGGAAGGCAAGTTATAAAACTTTGTACATCTTGGGTAAAATTAATAACATTTCTCCAATACGCATACTGTCCTCCACGAAGATTGTAAACCAATACTACAGAAAAAACCTGTGCAATCAACATTTCTTCGATATGAGTAAGATTTTGGAGCTCCTGAGGTACGTCACCTAAATTAAGTTTTATAAGGTTATTTTTTATTTATTTATTTGTTTATTTTTGCTAGCTAAATTTATATAATTTTATCTGAGTTTATATTATTTTCTTTTAAAAATCTTTTTGTAGCCTTTTCTTTATGACATTGATGACATTCACCTTGATAGAGAATTATAGAAGGAAAACATTCTTCACAGGTTGGGCAATATTCACTTCTAGTTTTATTCATTATATTACAAAAAATATTTAAAAGTTTTTTGTCTGATCCAGAAAGTTCAGATTCATGATTATTCTCAATATGAGTTCCTTGTTCCTCAATTATTTCAATATTCTTGCCCTTGCATTTTTGGTTACGATCATGTGTAAGGCATTCCTCTTGTTTTTTAATAGTTTCTAAATCTTTTTTCTTTTGCCTTTTATTGTGTTCACATTCAATTCGCATTTCTTGCTCTTTAGAAGTTTCCACATTTCTCTTTTTTTTCCATTGGCTGTGCCTGAATTCAAGACATATTTCTCACTCTTCAGCTGTTTCTGCATTTTTCTTTTCTTTCTGTTGGTTTCGTCTATGTTCAAGACGCATTTCTCTCTCCTCAACAGTTTCGATATCCTTTTTCCTTCATTTCAGACAATGATTGTGTTCATTTTGATCACAAAATTAGCAGTTTTGACATTCATTTTGAGAGTAAAAGATTATGGCAACAAATACTATTTATATTCAGATTATTAACACACAAAGCTTTTATTTTTTCAGAGATATTAAATTAATGTATTCTTGAATTATTGATTAGACAAGTTGGTTTTATTAAAGTATAATTTCTTTTATTCTATAATAATTTTATGTAAAACTGATCATTAATATTATCACCATGTTTATTTTCTTTTGGCTATATGTAATTTATGCAAAACATATCATTAACATTATCATTGTGCTTATTTTTCTCTTTTAAAACAATTGACGTTCGTTATTATTCGATATGATTTCTTCTATAATTTAAAAAAAGGATTTACTTTGTTCGACTCTATTCATTAAAAGGCTTTTAAAATTTTCGACTTTATTCATTAATCAGTTTCTATTTATTTATAAAAATTACTTATCTCATACATCATATCATCATTAACTATAGCACCGGTTAATTTTTTTTTTCATTACTAAGAACGCAAATTACTAAAAACGCGAATTACAAAATTACTAAGAGTGCCAATTGCAAAATAATGAACGTCATAAAATTTTTATTTTGAACTGTAGAAAAAAGTTGTGCAAATAAACTATATATCAATTTAAAAGAATAATGTATTATATTCTGATAAAAAGTTAAATCATATGTTATACGTATACAGCTAAAAGTTATCTGATGTATGTATTGATCATAAATTTGCATTATGAGCGGTGTCCACCCATACGGAATTTTTCTTACATATTGTCTGGACTTAAGTTCCTCTGCTCTGCTCCGGAAATAAATCAAAAATATATAATATCATATAAAATTTAATATCAAAGATTTTGTGAGTCTCGATAACCTTCAATTAGAAGTACAGTCTTTACAACCAAGAATTATAAATCTAAACATCGAACAAATCAACATAAAGTTCCAATAAACAATGTTACAGAGCGAAATTTATATTTAGTTAAAAAAAAAATTACCAATTGATTTAAAAATTATTCCAAGCAATTCAGGTAGCAAGTGCAAGTAAAATAGATTGGGAAAAAAAGTCATTTGCCTTATATCTAATGTAAAAACTAACTCTATAATTTTGTAATGGTGATAACGAAGAATCAACTTATGCCAAGACTTTGAATAAAAAGATGATGACGCAACCTGTGCATCTAAAAATATGGGTTCCGTTTTTATATATAAAAGTATTTTTGCATAAGTTATCGATTGAAGATCTTAAAAATGTCTGATTATTACAAAAATAATATAACCACACATAACTTTGTTTTACATAGTATATCGACAACCCCAACGTTACATCCCTGATTGCTAAATCGCACTATATTTACTAAAAGTTCTGATTGGTTAAAATTGGTTGCGCCAATTTACATTCTACCTTTGTAGTTAGATTTAATGGCAAGTTCAGAAGACAATACAAAACTAAAAATTTTACCTAATATGTGGAATATGTGGACGATGTATTTTTCTAGCGTTAGATTAAATATTGATATTTAAGTTTACGTTACATCCCAGATTTACCAGGAAATAAAAAAAGGGTTATAGTTTATGGTCATGCAAATACTGAATTACCAATCATATTTAAACATTATGCGGTCGCGAAAAATTCCACGGATATGGTTGTTAGATGAACTATTTTCATGAACCCTACAATACACCAACTTGACATAAAATATCCACACTCCTCGCAAGTCAATAAATCTTTCTTTTATTCAGCTATTGAACAACACCATATTGAGTCTTTGAATTACGATTTAATGCGATGGATTGTCATTAACAAACGACTATTTTCAATAGTTGAAGAGGAGTCTTTTGTAAAATTCATCACAAATCCTAATCCATATTACAAGATTCCTTGCTACCAGGTAAAGGTATAACTAATCGGTTCAAAAACCTAAAAATAATTTGTATCTAATAGTGAAATAAATAAACTGAGTTCCAGAATTAACTTTTTTAAAGAAAGCATGATGCCTAAAAATTCCAATTTTCAAAGTCGGAAAATAATTGGTCACTGGTTCCAGTTTTTGAAGAACTGAAATATTTCGTAAATCTAGATAAAAGACTAACAAAACTAAAAAGGAGGTTTGAGCATGATTTAACATATATTGTACATGACTCTAGTTATAAATTTATAAAAAGTTTGGTGGATGGAATGTTTAAAAATGATTACATTAAATAAATACAATACAGATTGCTATCGTTTTGACCTACTCAACATTACTCAAACATTCACCAAGCTTGTTATTTTTCAAGGCTCACTGCATTAGTGCGACGCTTTATCTTGTTACACTGCATGACTTCATAAAAGAACTACCTCATTAATTAAGTCATTGAGAAAAGATAGATTTTCAGCAATGCATTTTTGTTCAACTTTATCCACAAACATGCACAAATATACATAAACGTGTCAAATAACTATAGGAAATATAAATGACTACGTAGTAATAATATGGCAGCATTTTAAAATACGTAATAAGTTTAAAAATCTCTTAACTATAACAATGTTTTTCTTTATTTCTTTGTACCAGTAATACTTCATAGTGGCATACTTACTATGGAACTTCTACAAATATTAACATAATTATCTTTAAAAGAAAACTTAATTATTAAGGCGAATTTATAAAATGCCCCAAAATTTGAAAATTTTGACCACCGATTATGAATAATCTAATCAATAGAATATTCGACTTCATGTGTTAACTTATATACATGTTATAAAAATGTAACAAAACTAAAATTATTTTTAATAAGTAACGATAATTTAAATGGGTTATCTCAACTGTACTGAAATTTAAATGAGTTAGACGCATTGTTATTATAGATCTGAATGGCAATAATTTTTTTTGGAGGGTTCAATATTAGAAAACCCAATAACAAATTTGGGTGTTAAATTTGACAAATGCGCCGGAATGATACTAAAAATGAAACTTGCTTGGAATACAGTGTCTTTGAAAATCTAAATAAACTGAATGACTTATTCAGATAATCAAGTATTATTTCATTATTGCATAACATATATTTAAATTATTCTGAGAAAGAGTTGCTTATTCTAAGAAGTTAATTATTTTTCTTCATCGTACATTTGCATAGTTAATAAGCACAATTCTTTCTTGCCAAACTAATTTCGTTTTCGCACAATTTAAAAAAATAAATTATCAACTGACTAGCTACGATGTGTGATTACTATGGCCCATTTGAAGGTTTTGTATTAGTGCCTTCGAAAGAAAGTCAGCTGACACCATGGGCAATAGTTGGCACATCACTAGTTTTAAATATGCTTATTTTGTATCCTACAAATAAATGGAACAAGTTTAGTCCTATTGCAGCTTTATGGTCTCTTGTTAGCGGGATATTATTCCTATGGCGTGTAATTGTCGCAAGACAAGGCCCGATGTCAATAGCATATAATATGCCCTTCAGTTTGCCTTTGGGAATTGGATCCAATATTATTAGACTCACCCTTGAAGATGGAACAAAAGGGTTTAAACAAAGGTGGAAAACGCTTTTTCAAGTGATGTTTGGAAAGAGTCCAGAGTACACGCATTCAACAATGCCTGAACACACATATCCAATAGCGAGAATATCAAATTCTATTAGAAAACATCACAGAGCTGAAGAATTATTAAGATTCTTGGCATTATTTATTGATTTACTAGCCATGACAGTAGGTTTAATTCGTGTATGGGGATGGTGGTTTCCGCTTGATGCTATTGGTGACGTTATGTGTATAGCAAATTTTACGAAAAAGATTGATACCTCTTATGAAGATACTACATGTGGAATAATTATAACTGACTGGAGTTCAGCTACCTATTCTAATTGTGTCCTGTTCGAACCTGCAGTTGGATGGTTTCTCATCATTGTATATACAGCAGTCTGTGTAGTATTACTCGTTGGGTTGATTGCAATGCGTGGATATTTTATCTGGGCAATTGGTATTGTGGGATCTGCAATTTTAGTAGTTCTTTCTGGACTGCAATCTGTGTACTCAACTCAAAGTTTCTGTGTTCAATTCGTTGCAACTTTAATGGGACTATCTGAGATACCATATCAAGTCCTCAGCCATCGAAGCTTAATAAACTTATGGTGGTATCATTCCGGATTTAGGCAATGGCTTGTCAATTTATTTACTATTCATGGATAATATTAATGGATAGCGGTGATTGCATTATTAGTAGTCAAGTATATTATTATCCTTTTTGGTAGCTTGGTGGTTTTACTGTCTGAATTATTAAGCAATTAAAAATATATTTAGAGTTCAAGCTTTAAGGTTCAATAAATTACTTGTATAATGCATTTTTTTACATGTGACTAAATTTCTCAATTAAAAATATTTAATTTAAAAGCTGCTTGATACGTGAGTATCAAAGCAGCTTTTGTCTCGCTCGAATCGCAACTATTGATTGTAACATGCTCGGTTACAATAAAAATTCATCCCACGTGATTACTGACTAATACAGTAATAAGTAGCTGCGCGACGTTGTCACGCAAAACCAGGAACGGAAGATGGATTTTCAGATCAAGTTGCAGATGAAACTGCTTTCATCATAAGTTTTTTGTTTGCTTAACTTTTATAAGTTTTATTTGCAACTTTAAATT